ACTAAAACACGAGAAAAGATTGGACCAATACGGTCAGATACCGGCGAGCTCACTGACAACGATGGAGAAATGAGCAATAATTTGAATAAATATTTTTCAACAGTTTTCACCACGGAAAATTTAAACATGATACCACAGGCACTGACTCTGTTCAGAGATAGTGAAGAAAACAAATTAAGCGAGATAGTAGTGATTAGTAACGATGTTAGTAAGCAAATAGACAAACTAAAGCCTAATAAGTCACCTGGTCCCGATGAGATATTTGCCAGAGTATTAAAGGAATGTAAGGAAGAGCTTAGTATGCCCTTAGCAAAGTTGTTTAACGGGTCCTTAAAAACAGGTGTGGTACCAGAATCCTGGAGGATAGAGAATGTAATACCGATTTTCAAGAAGGGGGATAGATCACTATCCTCTAAGTACCGCCCAATCAGCCTAACATCAATAGTAGGCAAATTACTAGAATGATTCATTTCAAACTCGATTCAAAACCACCTGGATGAGCACAAGTTGATTAATGATTCCCAACATGGCTTCACAAGCGGGAGTTCATGTCTAACTAATCTATTAACATAATTTTTAATCGGTTTTCGAATCGGTGGACGAGGGGCACAATTATAATGTTATATATCTCGACTTTAGCAAAGCCTTCGACAGAGTCCCCCACGAAAGACTAATTAGAAAGGCTTAAGCACATGGCATCAAAGGTAATATCCTTAAATGGATTAGGGCGTGGTTACAGGACAGGAAACAGCGAGTGAGCATTAACGGCACTAAGTCCAATTGGAGGAACGTCAGTAGTGGAGTTCCCCAAGGCTCAGTACATGGACCATTATTATTTATTATATACATAAACGACATAGATATCGGCATAGACAGCAACATAAGTAAATTTGCTGATGGCACTAAAATAGGACGTGTAATTAAATCTGACGAGGACTCCGCAAAACTACAGGAAGAACTAAAAAAAATTTTCTAATGGTCTGAAAAATGGCAGATGAAATTCAACGTGGACAAATGTAAAGTTCTCAGTATTGGAGATGTAAACAGGGAAACCAGATACCAGATGAACAACGATGCCATAGAGAAATCCGACTGCGAGAGATATTTAGGAGTAATGAAAAGTAGGAACCTTAAGCCATGTAAACAATGTGTTTTTGCTCGTAACAAGGCTAATAAAGTACATGGGTTCATACCTGGATTATGCAGTTCAGTTCTGGTCACCGTATTACAGAATGGATATAGAATCCTTGGAAAGAATTCAGAGGAGAATGACAAGATTAATCCCGGGCATTAGGAACCTTGAGTATAGAGACAGGTTAAAGCATCTTATTTTGCACTCCCTCGAGAGACGTAGAGCGAGGGGCGACCTGATAGAGGTGTATAAATGAAAGTCAGGGCTAAACAAAGGGGACATTACAAAGGTACTCAAACTATCCAACCAGGAGCGAACTCGTAACAATGGTTTTAAATTAGACAAATTTAGATTTATGCGCGAAATAGGTAAACACTGCTTTGGAAACAGAGTAGTGGATGAATGGAACAAGTTACCAAATATCATCATTAACTCGAATACGCTGAATAGCTTCAAACATAGGTTGGATGCTTATATGATTGATTGATACGTTTATTGAGATACAAAAACCATTAATACATCTCAAAGGGATGAAGTGACATAAGTCATCCCCACCCCAGTCCAGGAATGTTCCTCTCAGGACTCGCATAAATCCCTAATATTTCTTATAATCAGTTATAGTACATAGTTATATTCTAGATGCAAAATTGCTATATTTCTTTAATATTTCATTTATTTTCCTATTTTTAAACATCCACTCTATTTGCTTGGGGACATTATTTATATGGGCATTTCTATATACATTAAGCAATGGGCATTCCAGTATATAATGTGGCAGAGTATGGGATCTGGATGTTCTAGAAACTCTACATTCTTTATCCTGTTCGCTTCTCTCAGCTCCAAGTTCCCAATAATATTTATATCCTAATCTTAACTTCATATACACTGAATCTTTCCACCTACTCCTATCTTTCCCATACGTAAATTTTGTGTTCATGAGAACATTGTAGGGGTATCGATATATTAATGTTGTCTAGCACTCAGGATGGAAGGAAACTCTAATGTGGTTTTCTTATATAATATATATAAGTTATATGATAGACAGTCTGGTGCTGGAGGTGCTGTGTGGTGAGGGGCTGCTTGGTAGAGACGTGCGGTGAGTAGCTTGTCGAAGGAGGTAGATGTGCAGGAGCTTCGTTAGAGAAGATGTTGCCTGTTGCTGGCCTCCTGGTTGAATGAAATGTTAACAGCGTGGAGCTTGCTGGAGGAGATGTTGCTTGTTCAAGAAGATTGGTCAGACTGAATCTCAAGGGAGAGACAGAGCTTATATACACCCAGCAGCGGCTATGAGTCATGGTGGGAAAACCCGAGAAGTAGCCGGTGACTAGTTCCGTTGCTAAGATACGGCGGGCATTGGAATGCGGATAGGCTTGGTTGCTAGGGAAGACGGTAACAGGTGGTGGCGTGGCTACGCAGTTAGGCAGTTGTAGGGGAGAAGTCCACTACAATACTCCCCCTCCCCTCCAGGCGGTGTAGGAGACTTGTTGTTTGTAGAGTTGCTTAGCACATGTGAGGAAGACCGGGCGGTGCATGCCTCATGTGAGACAACGGCGATGGCGTGATGAGCCGATCGCTGAAATACAACTGTCTAGATACACACTATCTGTGGGAGAAGGGAGAAAAAGGGTGTGTGGAGGCGATGGATGTTGTGCTTCCCTCACGACAGGTACAGGGTCGTCAGATGCGCCTGCTGGGGTGTGTGTGGGCCTGGATCAGGAGCAAGGGCTGGGTCAGCAGAAGCGGGTTAGGGCTCGTGACAGCAGCTGGGTCCACGACAGCAGCAGGGTGCAGGACATTAGCAGGGAGTACCTGAGGGAGAAAAGAAGGGGTGTGGAGGCGATGGATGTTGTGTGCTTCCCTCACGGCAGGTACTGAGTCGTCAGATGCGCCTGCTGGGGTGTGTGTGGGCCTGGGTCAGGAGCAGGGGCTGCGTCAGCAGAAGCGGATTAGGGCTCGTGACAGCAGCTGGGTCCACGACAGCAGCAGGGTGCAGGACATTAGCAGGGAGTACCTGAGGGAGAAAAGAGGGGGTGTGGAGGCGATGGATGTTGTGTGCTTCCCTCACGGCAGGTACTGCTGGGCCGGGGTCGGCGTCTGAGGCAGGACGGGTGTGCTGGGGTCGTCAGAATGTGGTGCGTGAGGCAGGAAGAGGAGCCGGTGTCTGCTTGAAGAGTGGGAGCGTGATCAGTGTCTCCTCCATCCTGTGTGAGTGCTAATCTCCGGGAGTCACCATTGTAGGGGTATCGAGATATTAATGTTGTCTAGCACTCAGGATGGAAGGAAACTCTAATGTGGTTTTCTTATATAATATATATAAGTTATATGATAGACAGTCTGGTGCTGGAGGTGCTGTGTGGTGAGGGGCTGCTTGGTAGAGACGTGCGGTGAGTAGCTTGTCGAAGGAGGTAGATGTGCAGGAGCTTCGTTAGAGAAGATGTTGCCTGTTGCTGGCCTCCTGGTTGAATGAAATGTTAACAGCGTGGAGCTTGCTGGAGGAGATGTTGCTTGTTCAAGAAGATTGGTCAGACTGAATCTCAAGGGAGAGACAGAGCTTATATACACCCAGCAGCGGCTATGAGTCATGGTGGGAAAACCCGAGAAGTAGCCGGTGACTAGTTCCGTTGCTAAGATACGGCGGGCATTGGAATGCGGATACGCTTGGTTGCTAGGGAAGACGGTAACAGGTGGTGGCGTGGCTACGCAGTTAGGCAGTTGTAGGGGAGAAGTCCACTACAACATGATGGTAATGTTTCATTGTTTCACTTTTCTCGTATATTTCATTCCTTTTGAAATTATCTTCTATTGATTGTATTTTCCGTAATTTGCTCCATAATTGCTTCAAGGTTTTAGTACATATTATGTTGATCTCTGCCTTTTCCGTGGCTCTTTTTGCTATTTTGTCTACTGCTTCATTAAGACCAATCCCCACATGTGAAGGGACCCATACAAATTGAACATTATGGCCATTTTTCCTTATTGTATTTACTAATTTTCTACATGAACCAATAATGTGTCCAAAGACTGGACTCCCACTGTTCAAAGAATCCAAAGCTGCCCTATTATCAACAAAAAAATATGCATCCTTATACCTCTTTACAACATTTTCCAATCATACTAACATTGCATATAACTCAGCTGGTGCTTATATGAGTAATAGGAGTTAGGAGTAAACGGGACTGCCCAGTATGGGCCAATAGGCCCACTGCAGTTTCCTCCATTCTTATGTTCTTATGTTCTTATGATCTGTAGTGATGATGGATATTGTTATATGTAGTGATGATTATACAATAAAATAATAACAGTTTAATGCTAAAAAAATAAACTTTGCTGTATCGTTGTAGTGAAAAACATGGTGGAACTTACATACACCGTTAATGAACTATTGATGGAAGAAGACTTTTTTGGGACTGAACAGTGAGACAATGTGGAGCCTCCCGGAGGGTGGCGTCCTACCGTTGCCTAGCGGATGAGCCCCCCGGAGGGCGGCGATTCTGCTATTATATATATATATATATATATATATATATATATATATATATATATATATATATATATATATATATATATATATATATATATATATATATATATATATATATATATATATATATATATATATATATATATATATATATATATATATATTTGTGAAATATAACAAAGTCTAGGAATGCTTTTGTATCCTGGTGGTCCGGCGGTTAGCGTTCCCCAGTCACGGTCGTGGGCCGTGGGATCGAATCCTGGCGGGTTTAGGTGTTGATTGTATATATATATATATATGTTATTTTTATTTATTTTTATTTATTTTTTCCTGACTTAAGTTTCCTTCAGATGTTATCCTTATGAGTAATCGAGTTTCTCATTACAGGAAGTGTGGTAAGGTGAATGTCGACAGCCTCCAGATCCTTGACACTATGCTCAGAGAATACGACAGAAGGGCGACACCAACCAACTATTTAAGTGAGTTGACACACACCTCGCGTTTGTCTCACAATTTGTTTTTTGTTTTTTTAAGAAAATGGTATATTTTATGAATAATCGTGTGATTATTTCTTTTTTGCGATATATGAATGATTTTATTAGTATTTTCTTAGAACTCAGTAAATACTGTAGCAGAGCTTTTATGTTGTATAATCCTCATGACATCCCAGCATATTTACATTCCATATTCTACTTACTTTTTTTCTCTTTGATAACAAGAATACAGAGTGTAAGGTTACTTAAACCTCTCTCCAAGCACTAATTGTATTATGAAGTCGATAATATGAATTCACGCACACACACACACACACGTGTGGAGTGGAGTGATCGTCTCCAAGGTGAGGCGGTGGGATTGTCACTTCTTCAAGTTTGTCTAAAGACTATCCTTATACCTTTTCCAAGGCTCGCCAGCGTTACGTTTACCATTGCTCAGGTGAGCGTAGAGTTGCTGCTTTGGCAGTCTACTGTCTTCCATGCGGGTAACATGGCCAGTCCAACTTAGTTGTTTATGGATAATGTCAGTTTCAATGCTCCTACAATTGGTGTAAGGGAGATTCCGAGGATAGAAAGTGGAATGCATTTGTGATTGGTCTCAAGTATTTCTCCTATATGTCTTGCTGCCATACAGCGGGGTGGGGAGGACCACTGACCGATATTTATACAGCTTTATAGATAATTTCAGCTCCCTTATGAAGACACGGTTACAGAGTCTGCCAAAGGCTTGAGATGCACATTCGATCCGATGTCCGCGGTGGTGGACAGAAGGGAGACAAAATACTAAAAGTGGGTAACATACAGTTAACCTGGATGGACGGTGGAGGAGTGGCTGAACGTGGGGCAAACAGAAAGAGAATCTGAGTTTTATTTACATTCAGCCAAAGATGCACTGACCCCACCGTGGGTCTCGTGCTCGCAATTTTACCTGGCAATACTTGGTGAAGTAAGGCTGTATGTAAAGGTAATTGTGATTGGTGGATCTGTTTTCGGCTGTATCACTGTCAGAATAATTATTATACAAACCAAAGGGAGAATTTTTATAATAATAAACTATTCATTGTTATTTAAGGTCATTAGAAGTTTCCAAATTTTCGTATATTTGCTTAAATAATGAAGAAAATTATATTTATGACTTGGCAACTCAACTACACCCACAGCTGCAAAGTTCCTCACATAAAATTTTCTTTATTATTTAAACAAATATACGACCATTTGGAAACTTCTCATGATCTAAAATAATGATGAATAATTTATTATTATATAAATTTTACCTTTGGTTTGTTTAATATTTATCCTGGCAGTGATACAGCCGAAAACAGATCCAGCAATCACAATCACTTTTACATACACCCTTCCTTTACCAAGTATTGCCAGGTAAAATTGCGAGCACGAGACCCAGGGTGGGGTCGATGCATCTTTGGCTGACTGTATATTTACCTCAAGGCCAAGTGTACATGTGCGCTTGGGTAGGTGTTCAAGATATCCTTTAGGTTGCGTACAGTGTGAGCGACGAAGAGTGAAGTCATCTGCAGACTGAAGTTCAGTAATGGAAGCGGCAAACACCTTTGTTCCTACCTGGAGTCCTCTTATGTTGAAGACTCCCTTCATCCAGCATTGAATATCCACTCCGCCATCTAGATTGGCACTGGCGCGATTAAGGAAGGCAGCCAAGAAAACAGAAGAGAGAGTTGGTACCAGTAAACATCCCTGGTTTACCCCCAATTGGATGGGGAAGAACACCGACTGCAAGGGGCCATTATGCAGGACACTGCTGTTCATGCCATCATGGAGTTGCCTCAAAATGGTGATGAATTTTGGTGGGCAGCCAAATCAACTGAGGGTCTGCGGCACGGTTGAGATAGATCTAATCTTCACTTGCTAGAACACAGACTGGAATGGTAATTACCTGGTAATTTTGACGCCAATTTTAATATTTTGTTTGGCTAACGCCACACGACTTTATTCAACACAGAGGTGTAAATATTCTCATAGATGGAAAAGACTCCACGAACGTTATAATCATGACCCTGAAGGATAGGGCAGGTAGCAAGAGAGCAGCGAAGTCACTTAAAGGCAGTTGTGTAACTTTGTTGTGGGGAGGAAAGTCTTGTCAGTCAGCTCGCGTTGCACCTATGATGAGAGGGGTAGCTGCTATCTGTCTCCTGGTCCCCGCCTTGTTTGACACTAATAATAAAAAAAAAACCAATTGTGGTTTGATATACAAGTTATGTGATATATCAACTAACAGTTCGCTGTAAGGTATGTATAAGACCAATTACATAATTTTGTTTAAATGTTTTAATACTGAAATTCTATATAGGTATGGCATTGGTTTTGTTTTATTTTTATAACGAGATACACCGAATTTAATATTCTTTTTAACACACGTAAACTATATAAGTTAATTATATGTTAATTATTAAGTTAATAAGGCACTACTTCTCATAATTCACACAGAGGAATATCATGTTTGAAACATGTTTATCTTTTAATATATTAGAGAGGCAGTCGTAAGCCCCAGGTGGTGTGGGGCCTCCCATAACTAATGGAGCTGCGGAGTTCACCTTCCCCTTCTACATACACTTTAATGGCACCCTTTTTTTTCAGAGTTAAAGTATGAATTTCACTGAGGTTCATTTCAACTTAAGATTGTCCATTTATTACAAAATATCAGAATTAGGTCCTTCAGTACTGTATAAATTTCAAAGTGCACCGTTGTAGAATTTATAATTTGAACAATCATTATCATCGCTCATCATTCCACGGCTCTATGAACGATTTGATAAAATTATTAGACTAAGGATTTAAAGAGTTTTTTCTACTTTTTTTTCTTAAGTACTGTACGTCATCCATTGATTGCTTGCTTCAAAATGTTCAAATACCTACATAATATTATTAAAGATTTTTTTTTTTAAATTCTGAAGGAAATAAATATGTCAGAATTTAGTGGTTATCGCCTTGGTAATGATCAGTACAGTGATACGAATTTCCCCTGTTCCAGATAATGCCACAACTGTAAACTGTGAACTTTACATACGAAGTTTTGGCTCCATCGATCCCAACTCAATGGTAAGTTTTATCATGCACACCAACACATACCACATTTCATCATGGCGTCATCCTCAAGTACTCAAGTATCTGATGGTTGGCGACCATAGCTCTCCTCTCTTAAACTTTTGTAAGCTGTCTTTACCAATCATCCCGGATTTCATATATCTCCGGGAACCCAGTATTCACGTTCATACTTCCACCCTTTTCTCTGTCTTTCCTGGCCACCCAACCCGAAATATTGCCCACTAAATTTTTTATCATCACTTCATTAGAATAAGGCTGGTTTAAGTGAGTTTCTCATTGAATTTCAACGTTTTTCAGTTTATTTGTATCATCCGAATATCTATCGGATAATCTATACTAATGAAACTAAGCTATGGAGTATGTACGTGCAGTCAACAGCGGAAGTTCGTCAGCAACATTGATGTAGTGCAGGTAACACTAACAACATTAGTGTAGTGCATATAACACCAACAACATTGGTGTAGTGCAGGTAACACCAACACATCGGTGTAGTGCAGGTAACACTAACAACATTGGTGTAGTGCAAGTAACATCAACAACTTTGGTGTAGTGCAGGGTAACACCAGCAATAGAAGTGTAGTCCAGGTAACACAAGCAACATTGGTGTAGTGCAGATAATATCAGCAACATTTGTGTAGTGCAGGTAACACTAACAACATTGGTGTTGCGAAGGTAAAACCAACACATTGGTGTAGTACAGGCAACACTAGCAACGTTGGTGTAGTACAGGTAACACCAACAACATTGGTGTAGTAGTGCAGGTAACATCAACAACATTGGTGAAGTTCAGGTAACACCAATACATTGGTGTAGTACAGGTAACACCAGCAACACTGGTGGAGTGGAGGTAACACCAACAATAGGTCAAGATATTTGACAGTACAGTATGATCCTTATTTAGGTCTAGGTCATAATGTCCAATTGTTCCTATATCAACATCTAGGCCTCATTTCACCCAGCTTGGGTTTTTTATCAGAATGTTCATTTAATACCATAAACTGTTTATCTTAACACACTTTCGACTAATATTAATATTGTGATTATTAAACTTTTTGTTCTCCAACATTTTATAACCAGAGTTTCTCCTTTGAAATAACAAAAGTAAGAACGCTGAAACACCAGTGACCCAGTGAGGGAGATTTATTCACCCTTGGATGGGTGATTGACTAGTGAGACTGAACAAAGAGTCACGTTGGTGGTGGGGGGGGGGTGGGACTGGTGAGGATGTAAATGCCCACAAACTGCACCATAATGTAACACCTAGCCAGGTCAATAAAGATGATAAGAATATAAGGGTGGGTAGAATGTTGAGACAAATCTATGAAATAAGTATTTACTATGTGATTAAAAAAAAATCTTTATTACTGTTATCATTAAAAGCATATGTTATTTAAACTTCAGTCAAAAGATGAGACAATATAAATATCACAAGTTGGTAGCTCACTGTTACCGCGGATTATTGTACAGGAATTACGCCGGGCCCCAGGTTGAGATTCAACCTGAACTTGGGCTGGTCAGATCGATGCACTTAACCGAAATGGTAATTAAGGTTACATTTGTGGGACCAGTCTTCCACGCAGTGTACACAAACAGGTTTTTTTGTGGCAGAAATGGGAAACCGGTAAGGTTAGACAGTGGGCCCCGTGACAATACATATATTTATCAAGGCCACATTAAGACAGCCTAGGGCCTCGGGTACATTATAATTAAGCCCTGTCCCCCACCTTTTTTTTTACTTGAAAGATGAAAAAAGTAATTTGCTTGTTCAAATGAAGACCAAATACTAGTGAAATATTTAATAACATAAATTCAAATAATGAAATGTAACATCATCATAATAAATACACGATATTTGTAACTAAGAGTTGTCTTTTTCTTATAAATGACATACCAGTAATATATCAAGTTTTTATTAATTAATATTAATTTGAAATTAAATATTCAGTTGAAAAATGAACTTTGGTATAGTATAGCGAATCATTATTTATAAGGATTATTTTGAAGAATGAACTGCGATGTTCATGTAATGTGATGCAGATAATATTAAGTTAAAAGTTGCTCTTTCGAGTTTTCATAGCAGCAAACTGAGAATTCATATCATGAAAGTCAATCATGCAAGTCAGATCGATTTCATATCGTAGGAAGGGTTTATGAGTATCTAATGAAGTTCTATGGAGACTTCAACCAGCAGTTCGTTGAAGCTTCGAAGCACTTAAAACGGAACGTGTTATTCCTCTGGGTCTCTATACAGCTCTGATTGTGTCCCATCCCACCTGTTAACGTTTTGACAAAAAGCCTAACTAACTTATTAGTTCAAATTTTAATGTATACTCTTTGCACTCGGTGTTACTTCTGATTAATTGTTAAAAATGCAATGGTAATCTACTATTAGTTTTATATATATATATAAATATATATATATATATATATATATATATATATATATATATATATATATATATATATATATATATATATATATATATATATATATATATATATATATATATATATATATATATATATATATTATATATATATATATATATATATATATATATATATAGGCTATATATATATATATATATATATATATATATATATATATACTAATTTACTAGATTTAAAGTAAATAACAAGAATAGTCAATTCGTCTGAACCGTAATGTTCATCAGACTAATTATTTATATTAGTAATAAACCCTCACCACGATTTATATTTTTATTCACGTGAATCATGGGTTATACGAATTGTTGTAAGAAATCCATGATTTACCTCTGCCAACAAGCCTATTTCAAATTAAATTCACACAAAACCATTACCCAAACATCCGTACATGCTTCAAGGTTCGATGGGGCAAGTTGCTATGAGGTTTTATTTACAATTTAAGATTATTATTTGGAATTACTGTACACTGAGTTTTTCAGTACATAACCAAACAGCTGATCTATTTTAATTCTCATACTTTTACTGTTCACGTAGTAGATATTTAAGTTAGTGGTGATCTGAGTCTTTTCTTTGTCGCGTTTTGGGTTTAATTCCCTATTCAATTTCGCTTTTTTATCATACCTAACACGAAATATGCTCTTATGTTCCCTTAACAGTTTAAAGACCTCGACAACCTTTCACCTGCCCTCTCGAGAGAGCTGGCTTGCCACCCCATTCCTAGATAAATGTACCCGATCGATTGCGTACAGGTTCCTTTTGCCGCAGAAGCTGTACCAGTTGTCCACGAATGCAACCGATATTGACTTGCAGCATCTGTCCACATGGCCGTTGACGCCAACTGCTCTTGACAATCATTGACTGCCAACTCCCCTTCTAGGCAGGATCCCTCCCTTCATCATAATCCAGTCTATAGCTAGCTTGAACTTATCAAGGAGCTCTTCACTCATACATCGGCCAATATTGTTGCCTCCTGCACTGAGGCATATAATGATCCTGTCCCTCCTTTCATCCTATCTACAATGTCACCCATGCCAGCTCCTACCAAACAAACTCTCGTCCTGCTACTCCTGTTCTTATTACATGTACACTCAGAACCATAATCTCTAGCCCACCTGGGTCGGTACTGGAGGTTAGAACAGTGTCCTTTCTGGACGGGGCCCACTCTAACTATCACGAAGCAACACACGCACGAACACACACAGTCATAGTAAGGCTGTATAGATGACATTATGTATAAATATTGTATATGACATTTTATACTCTGCATTATCTTCATTATATATGAACACGAAGAAAAAATACCACACGTTGTAGTTACGAAAGTATGAATGGAAATAAACACTTCCAAACCACCCAGTGACTCCACACAACGTGTGTGTGTGTGTGTGCCAGACCACGATGCTTCCCATTATTCGCATAACGATATGAAAAGTCGTGTTTAATTTATCTACATATTTCAAAAACTTTAAAATACATGTGGATGAGTCACTCCTCATTTGACACACTTATAGTGTAATACTTTGACCATCCCACCTGGGCACATGGAAGCCCACGGTTCCTCTCACGGGCAACATACGCACGAACACACAAGTTATGATATGAACCCTTCCAGGCTTCACTATCATTATCATGTTATGTTCATCGTGCTCTGTATCTTGGTAACTAGTCATAGTATCAATACATGAGAGTGTTATTAGTATAATATTGTAACTTTTGCCCTACAGTTATTGTTGTAAATCATGGACAGGAAGGATACATAAATTGTAATATCAAGTGTATGGTTTGCTCAAAGCCACTCCAAGTCAGACAACGCGTCACACAAAGTTACACTATGTGTGTGTGTGTGTGTGTGTTCTGTAACATTAAGCTTCATCCTTAGTAGGTAAGATGTTTCATAAAGAGGTTTCTCCCATTCGTCATTGTGAGCATCGTCCCAGAGCACATTGTTTCCATCAAAACAATGGTTCATCCTTATTTCCCTTCTTCCGTGTAACTATATCCATATGGCTAAGTGCTTGCTTTTCATTTCTTTATTTACCAAAATAATGTGGATCAGTTACTCGTTATTTAACACATACATGCACTTAGAGCATCAAGATTTTTTGTAGGCATGACTATTGGTTAATTGAAACCCCAAAAATATTTTTCACATTTATTATGCATAAACATTGTAAACATATCTATGTGATTATTGTAGTATATAACATATATTTAATGTCTGGACAGATTCCCAAGAGTTATGCATATTAATGCATAGATTTTGTAAGCATATTTATGCGAAGTGATGTAAAACCACATAGTAAAATACCTGGAGAAATTCGAGAGTTATGAAACGAAGTCTATGTGGCCCCAACGAGGTTACACCAGAGAACTAACTCCCCCGCCACCCCCTACAAGGCACCGTAGTGGGCGGAGATTTAATTCTTGACCACAGGTTAATACCGTGTCCAACCTCCATCTGCTGCTATAACTTCATGCAATCTGGTGGGCATGGAATCTTCCAGATTGCTGCAGATGTTCGGCCTCCTCCTTATTCCCTCCCACAC